TCTACCACCCCCCCTTCTCCCAACCACACCACAGTTCTTACAATCTGAGTTAACTGCCGGGCGGCCAGATTCCCAGCCGGCCCCTGCTCCTCTGCTTTTAGCAGCCGCTCAGCCAGCTGATATTGTTAGTATGAATATTTATTTTTAGCTGTTCAATTTATAGATTGTTTCCTCCTGGGCTGAATCACATGAGGAGGCCATCGTGTTTAGCTGCGGGCTTCCCTTGCTGATTTCTGCACACCAGGCCATGGTTAGAGACACAAGAATCAGGGCTATTTTGGGGCAGGAACGCACAGGAACGGCGTTCCGGCTGGCTCCCAAGTTGGCCATGCCCAGCAGGAACTCATTAGCATAATAGGCCACACCCAACAGCAGGAACGCATTAGGATTGGCTACATTAGGGGTGTGTGGCCTAGCATGCAAAGGAGTTCCTGCTACAAAAAAGGCCCTGGATTTTGACCACAAACAAGGTAAACAGAATAAGAAGCAAAAGGTGGGTGTGGCTGGATGACCACACTTCTGGTAACATGGGGGTGCGACCTAATGTGCTAATGAGCTGTGCTGTCAGGGGTGTGGCCTAATATGCTAATGAGTTTCTGCTGTTGGGTGTGGCCTGTTATGCTAATGAGTTTCTGCTGGGCTTTTTCTACAAAAAGAGCCCTGTGTGACAAGATGATGTGTCTGCCGGGGAGTTGGCAGCCGGATGTGACTGGGGCTGCTGCCGTCACTGCCTCCCCACCAGCTGCTGCCCTTTCTGCCATGCCAGCCATGCTGGGGAGGGCTGGGCTTCCCGAATGGCCAAGGAGCGCCCCTGTGGGACCATTTCAAGTCAGGACAATGGGGTGGGGTGAGGGGACTGGAGCCTCTTCTCCGCGTGTGCCACAGTCGCAATCTGAATTGGGCACCCTGCATGCAGGAACTGGGGAGACCCAGCGACACACGCCTGCAGGTGAGCTGGAGCTGGATCGGGGCCACCTTGAACTGTGGAGTAGTGGTTAAGACTAGCGGTGGACTCTAATCAGGAAAACTGAGTTTGGTTCCTCACTCTTGCGCATGTAGCCAGCTGGGTGACCTTGGGCCAGTCACAGCCCTCTCAGAGCGCTCTCAGCCCCATCTATCTCACAGGGTGTCTGTTGTGGGGGAAAGGAAGGGAAGGCTATTGTAAGCTGCTCCGAGACTCCTTTGGGTAGTGAAGAGTGAGGTATAAAAACAAACTCTTTTTAAATCCACACAGGGAGAAGCAACAGGCAAATTAGGGGAAGCTCTTATTTTTCCCTCCAGAGTTTAAAGTAGCTGGGGGGGGGACATTACTGTTCTGGGAAATAGCCCAGGGGAAGAATTAACACCCCCCACCCCTGCACTGTGGCCCCCAAACTGGACTCCATCATCGCTACTTTAAGATGGGGGGGGGGAAGGCACAGTATGGGTGCTTCTCTCCCCACACACACACACACACACATGGGTTTCCAGCTGGACAAATAACTGAGGAAGAGTCCCTCCCCTCACACCCAGACAGCTTTTTAGCCCCATATCCAAAGGCAGTTACAGAACTGCAGCATCATGTTGGGGGGCAGTGTGGTATAGTGATTACTGTATTTGACAACAAATGGGGAGACTTGGGTTCAAATCCTCCCCTCCTTTCTGAGCCTAGCCTACCTCACAGGGTTGTAGTAAAAATAAAACGGAGGAAGGGGAGCATGAATTCTTTGAAGGAAGAATTTTTTTTTTTTTTTTTTAAAGACGTCTAGCCTGGCCTAAGACATGCAAAACACTCGATCGCACAAAGCTGCCTTATACGGAGTCCGACCCTTCGTCTATCAAGGTCGGAATTGTCTACTCTGACTGGCAGCAGCTCTCCAGCATCTCAGGTGGAGATTTTTCACATCTGCTGCTGCCCAAGACCTTTGACCTAGTGATGCTGGGGATTTAGCCTGGGACCTTCTGAATGCCAAGCAACAGATGTCTGTCTCCCTCTTCTGTGGCAACCAAGACTTGGTACTTCAGAACAGTGGAACTGGACCCTGGATGACCTCGAAGCTGGTCACCCCAGAAGGTTGCTTGCCCAGCTGGATGGGGGAACTTCACACTCTCTCGGCCTGACCTACCTCACAGGGTTGTTGTGAGGAGAACATGGAGGAGAGAACGATGTACGCTGCTTTGGGCCCCCATTTGGGGAGGAATAAACAAACTTCAGACAACTGCAACGGCTGCTGCTGCTGCTCCTCCCTCCCTCCCCCTCGCCTTTTGCTCACTCTGAGGAGTGTGAATCCGCTCCTCGCTCCTGGATCCATCACGCTGAAGTCATGAGATGCCGGTATCCTGGGGGCAAACCCAGATCCTTCCACCGGAGCCTAAACTTAGCTGCTTGTCTCAGCCCCGACTCACACAGGAGCTTCTTTGAACCTTTGGGGAGCATGACGCCCCTATTTGAACAACCAGCCGACCATGGGGGGGGGGTTTGAAACGTCTCAGACAGTTGGAGGGCAACAGGGTCTGCTTATGAGATGCTTGCCCCCCCCCCGGGCGGCCATCTTCTGGCTCCTCTGTGACAGGAATGGAGCCTGTAGGTTTCACTGGGGGAAACTGGAAAGGGGGCCAGGCCTACACAAAAGGACAACTTGCCGGCACTCCTATGTGGTTGGAAAGGGTCTGTCGGTGTGTGTGTGAGAGAGAGCCAGGACTCCCGGGTTCTCAGCAGAGGGGCGAGAAGAGAACTTGGGACAGGCAGATGCAAAGCAGGGCGAGGAGCTGCAAAGTGTACCAACCGCTCTCCCCATTTCCTTCCCCCTCAGCCTGCCCCCAAACCCACTTCCCTTTCTCTGGGCCCTGTTTCCGCAGCAGGTTCAAACTTCAGGCCATTTAAGGCAAAGAAAAAGTGTCACGGATCTGTCGCTTCGGCATTTTCACAACTCCGCCGTCCCTCCCACCCGCCCCTGCCGCCATCTCTACGCTCCCCGGAAACGCAAAGCGGGGTGGGGAGACACCACACTGAAGTTAGATTTATACGTGGTGCTATACATTACGGGGGTGGTGGGGGGGATGATAGAATTCCATTTGTGGTGGAAGTCAAGACTGAAGCAACCCAGGGAGTTTTGAGGAGGACATTTGGGGGGTGGGGGATTCTACCTACCTTGGACAAGGGTAAGACCAGGAAGGCCCCTCCTCCACTGGATTCGACCACGATGGCCAGGAATTTGGGGTTGACTGAGCAGAAATTCCCATCCCAGGTCATCTGGGAAACGCGGATGTCATCGTAACATTGGTCGGCCTTGACCGGCTGGCCGTAGACATGGCGGAATTTACTGGACCTCACGACTTTGCGGCTCATGGTTCCTGCCAGAGAGTTGCCAGAGAACGGCTGTTAGTAGGGGTGCCAATCCCAAGTCACAAGCCCAAAGCCCCATTACAAGCCCTCCGACTTGCTGATGTGCCTGAAACTTGGGTCAGCCCCCTGTGCCCTAGACAGTACCGGAGGTCTGTTCCCCAGACACACACTCTATTGGTTGCTTTTCATTGTGACACTAACCACAGCATCAGGTAGCTACAGAAGAACCAAGGAACTTGGCATGGGAGATTTCCCTGTGAATGAATCCAGATTTGTACCACGCAGCCACTCTAACGGGCAGGTTAGCCCACCACTATGTGTTTTATAGCCAAGTGGCAGAGAGTTCCGCAAGCACAGAGGAGGAAACCTTACTCACTACCTCGCCCGGTCCCAAGTGTGTTTACTCAGAAGCAGTGTTCCCTCTAAGCTGCACAAGCAGAGAGGAGGTAACCTTACTCACCACCTCGCCAAGTGTGTTTACTCAGAAGAAGTAAATCCTGCAGGGTTCAGTGAGAATTTACTGTCCGCTAAACGCGTGTAGGGTCGCAGGCTGTCACCATTTGGATAGCTCAAGCAAAACAGCCAAGCCACATACTGCACATGTTACGCTCCAGGTCACACACAGAACAGGTAAAACTGAAGTCTTCCAACACATTTTTATCCCTTGCTTTCTCCCGAGCAGGATGGGGCAGAGGAGCACAAAGGATGGCCCCATTTTATCCTTGCAAGTAGCCTGTGAGGTGGATTGAGTTGAAGGGTTTCCACTGACTTGCTTCAGATTTCACTGATTTGCTGTACCATTATTTGAGACCAAGTACAGCAAATCAGTGGAGTCTGCAGCATCACCCAAATGATATCGATTGAGCCTCCGTGAGAGGGGAAAGCCCGCCTCGTTCCTCAGTTTCTCCGTCTTTACAATGGGAATTATAGTGTGATCCACCTCACAGGGTTCTGCAGAGGATGAAGAAGAGCCAGGACCAGGCATTGCTTTGCACATCAGAAAGTGCTACAGGCATGATCGAATAATTCACGGAGGACCCCCCCCCCTTTCCTGTGCAAGCAAGGGTCCCCCCCACACACACATACACTTTCCCCTGCTTCTCCTCCACCCCAACCCAAAGTCCTTCCTCCCCCCACCCCCGCCCAGCGCTCTCACCTGCAGCCTTTGTAACGGATGTGCCACACAATGAATTGGAGGCGAAGCGGCTCAGAGCTTTTTAACAGAGCCATCGCCCTGGAACTGTCAGAGCTGGGAGGGTTGGTCTCTTAAAGGGCCAGCGTGCAGCAAGTGGCATCTCTGCTTGTGGTATCATTCTCTGGGTTGCTTCCATCTTCCAGCCTTCCCCCCACCCCACCCCTCTAATTTTCTCCCTGTATTTCCCACCATTATAGTTATATGTAGTTGTCCCATCATTATAGTTACCTCCTTGAGTCACTTGTATTTGGCAGAGAAGCAAGTTTCCAAGTTGCACAAATCTCTTTAGCTCCTGCCAAAAGAAGGGTTCTGCGTAGCTCAGAGGCTTTCTGGTTTGAAATGTATTGAAACAGATTATTTTGCTGAACCAAACACGTCTTCAGGGTTGCAGGCTTCCAAGTTATCTACAGCTTTTCTGCCAGAAGACTTCAGCGGAAGCACTTTTGATACTGTTTCATGTTCCTAAACAATCTAGCTGTGTACGCTTCTAAACCTTGATCTCCTTTCCTCGTCCACTCACCTCTGAGAAGCCCATTTGCCTCAGTTCCATGAGAGCCCAGAAGAAGAGCCCAGAGTCTTTAGTCCTGCGTACAGCATCCCCTGGAATCACAGGTTTCACTGAAGTCATCACCCCCAACGTCTAGTCCTCATGGCAGTGTGGATTCTCAGTGTGAGTTTGCTGTCTGAGGTCTGTGAATGGGTCAGTCACATGGCTTTGCCCTCAAGTAGTTAGGGAGAGATTAGCATCTGACATCTGACAAAAGAAATGCTAAGGGTTGTTTTAATGGCTGTGGACGTTCCCGTGGGCAATGCAAAATGCAAGGCTCGGAGTGAGTAGATAGAAAGACAAGCTTCTAGGTGCAGGTAGCTGATGTAGGGGAAACAGGAATGAAAACAGCCTGGTAAAGGTAAAGGTTCCCTTGCTCGCAAGCCAGTCAAGTCCGACTCTAGGGTTGCGGTGCTCATCTCCGTTTCAAAGCCGAAGAGCCAGCGCTGTCCGAAGACGTTTCCGTGGTCATGTGCCCGGCATGACTAAACACCAAGGCGCACGGAACGCTGTTACCTTCCCACCAAAGTGGTCCCTATTTATCTCCTTGCAATGTCTTGCTTTCGAACTGCTAGGTTGGCAGGAGCTGGAACTAGAGACGGGAGCTCACTCCGTCGTGCGGCACACTGGGGTCTCGAACTGCCGAACTACTGACCTTCCACAGCTTGCAGTTCAGCGTCTTAACCACTTGAGCCACCGTTGCCAAAGTTGCTGTCTGGGGGGAACTTCTGCTCTGTAGGAGCGGACCCATGTTTTGGCAGGCAGGCCCATAGCAAGAAAGGAGCTGAAGTGGCAGCATGTGTGAATTTGGCCTTTGACTCTGTAAGTTCCTCAGGACAGAGACACTTCCTCTAGTGGACGCTCTGTAACACACCAGATGCACAGACGGTATTGCTCTGTAACACACCAGAAGCAGGGAGGGTACTGCTACCGCTACTAATCTGACTGAAAGGGTGGGGTTGGCACCTGGTGCCGGCTTAGAACTTGGAAACCAGAAGAATTTCTGGATAATATTTCCAGTGGGTTGTGGACTCTAATTTATGATCCTGCCACTCCCCTTAACAAGTAGATTACGTGATGCCAGTGAATGAAAACGGCAGTATAAATGATGCAAACTCTAAAGACGTACGGCTTTTCCACGAACAAAAATGTACTTCTTAATTGATTTGTTTGGAAAAAAATGTACATGCCGCCAGAGAGCTGCTCAAGGCAGTTCACAATACAATAAAACCATAAAAGCAACAATCATAAAATTAGATAGGTTAGCTATCCTAGTCTGTTGCTGCAAAACCAACAGACTCCAGTGGTAATCTCAAGACTAACACGAACTCCATTGAAGACATTGGGCTTCAAAGGTTGTAACTCTTAAGACTAGACTATGAGTCAGATTCATTGTGGCATGAGGGTTTTTTGTAGGTAAATGCCCTCTTCACCAGATGCATGCCTAAAGGGGGGAAAAACCCCTCAAGAACTGTCTTTCAGGTGTCACAGGACTCTTTTGTTTGTTTGCAAGGTGGTAACATGAATGACGCTGTGTGAAGGGAAGGCTGTAAGAGTGTAGGACAAAAAGAAGGAAAGAATCCTTCAAAAGCAAATGAAGGTCTCTGTTTATGCAACAAGTGATGCCATTAAAATGATGGGGGGGGGGAAGAGGACTCTCTCTTGTTTCAGTCTAAATCAAGGTCAAGGTTTTCCCACCCACACTACAGTATTAAATGAGTTCAGAAAATCGGGGCAGCACCAGTGACTGCAGCTGTCAATGAGTTTTACATAGAAATGCCACTAGCCAGATCTCTTGCACGTCATAGATGTGCCCACTGTTCACATTTCTTGCTTTTTACCCACGTTGGTGTATATCTGCCAAATGAGGATAGCTCTTCATGCCTCTGATACAGTGGACTCTAATCCACAGAAGCTAATGCCACAGTAAACCTAACGTGGGGAAAGCGGACGGCGCAGGCGCGGCGGAGCCGGAAGGACAGAGCTGCAGCCGCGCCGGAGCGCGCCGCACGTCGGAGGGGCCCGGCTGACTCACCGCAGGAGTGACCATCAAAAAATGGAGCCAGAAGACAACCGAGACATCGAGCCGAGTAATGCCGACCCAGAGACTGTCCGGTACCTCCACTGGGTGCTGATAGGGATTGTCCCCCACCCTGTGTTTCTGTGGCCATAGATTAGGTATGAGAATCAAGTGTAAGCCGCTCAGAGACCCCTTAGCGGGGGTTCGAGCGGGGTAATAAATCGAATAATAAATAAATAAAATAAATAAATGTGTGCTGCTTGCTTCTTTTGCTCTGCTACCTTAAAATAACCCAACAAGGAGGTTATGGGCCGCAGGGTGGAGGCTTCCTCCAAGAGGGGTCCTCTGCTGCTGGAAAGGTCCACCATTTGCAAAAGAGACCATTTAGAGTCAACCTTTAGGGTCTAATATGTCCCAACATGCCTTCTTTGGGTTGCATCCACGTTACTGGATCTTGTTTGCTTTTGCCATCAAGTCACAGCTGTCTTACGGCAACCTGGTAGGGTTTTCAAGGCAAGAGCTGTTCAGAGGCGGTTTGCCATTTCCTACCTCAGCGTAGCAACTCTGGATTTCCTTGGAGATCTCCCATCCAATTAGTAACCAGGGCTGACCCTGCTTAGCTTCTGAGATCTAATGAGAAGCATTCACTGGCAACTTGATTGTCCTTTGTGCACAGGACAATCCAGTTGCAAAAGTTTGCTGTAGCACAATAATAGCAACAATATCCAACAACGTGCAGATGCAGAACCAAGTTGGAGTCCAGTGGCACCTTTAAGACCAACCAAGTTTTATTCATGGTATAAGCTTTTGTGTGTGTGTGTGCATCCTTCCTCAGATACGAAATGGAAATTTCCAGTCCATACCTACAGGTAGAGGGTCAGAGCAGTAAATAGGCATACAGCATAATGAAGATGCAAATGCAGCTTTTGTTTTACTTTTCCCTCTGAACAAACTTGGTATTGAACAGGTGAATTGTCGGCATGCATGAAAATGAACGATGAAGGCTGAACTTCTAGGGTTGTCGTATTTTCTCATCACAAATATAGGAAGGGGTTAATTTGGCAGTGCAAAGTGCATCCTTCCTCAGATACAACGAAATGGAAATTTCCAGTTCATACCTACAGGTAGAGGGTCAGAGCAGTAAATAGGTATACAGCATAATGAAGATGCAAATGCAGCTTTTGTTTTACTTTTCCCTCTGAACAAACTTGGTATTGAACAGGTGAATTGTTGGCATGAATGAAAATGAAGGTTGAATTTCTAGGGTTGTCGTATTTTCTCATCACAAACATAGGAAGGGGTTAATTCGGCAGTGCAAAAATGGTGCTGTGCTGCTTATAATCTGAGGTCCTAAGGGAGATAACAAGCAGCCATTTCTTTTCGCCTGCAAGACCACTGTGAGTTTTGCATCAGTGTTTCATTTTCGGAGCAGAGGTCTCAAGAATGTTTTAAAATAACAGTCATGTTCCCCTTTCTCACCAACCAGCATGTCTGAAAGCTCAAATATTACTAAACCTCCCTATAGGGCCTGGAAGAGTCTACATCCCCAGCCAGCCTGTTTCTTCTTTCACCCTAATTCTATGAGCCTGGAATGCTACCTCTCCATTAGGGCATACTCCACAGCAGGGTAGAGGATGACATACACAAAACCAATTCTTTCTCTGTCCCTCCCAACACCTCTCACTGTAGCCAGGAGGCCTTCCTAAGTATCCAAAAAGAGAGCCACAAAGGCTTGCAGAGAAAAGTCCTTGAAGGCTGCTAGCAGAGCTCCTACGACTCACAGCTGTGCAACAGGCAGAAATCCAACAGGCACAGCTTTGGCTGATTTCCATAGAGGATGGAAAAAGCTGGAAATCTAAATTTATAAAATGTTACCTACATAACATTTACTATTCTGTACATGGGATGTGTATATTAGGAGCTGCGGTGGCTCTACTTTGTGAGAACTACTGACCTGTGGAAGGTCAGTAGTTCAGCAGTTCGAGACCCAAGTTGCCGCATGACGGAGTGAGCTCCCATCTCTAGTTCCAGCTCCTGCCAACCTAGCAGTTCGAAAGCAAGAAACTGCAAGTAGATAAACAGGTACCACTTCGGTGGGAAGGTAACAGTGTTCCGTGCACCTTGGTGTTTAGTCACGCCGGCCACATGACCACAGAAACGTCTTTGGACAGCGCTGGCTCTTTGGCTTTGAAACGGAGATGAGCACCACAACCCTAGAGTTGGATTTGACTGGCTTTTGAGCAAGGGAACCTTTACCTTTATATGGGATGTATTAAAAAACAAATGACAAGAGTGCCCATTGGAAACTACAGGAGCTCCCTGAAGGCCCACTGGATATAATGGGAACCACTGAATTCACTGGACTGGGCTCCCTCGAAATACACTGATGTCCTACAAAGGGTACATGGCAAAGGTGCATATAAAAAGAGGAAGGGATCCAGAGAAGCAAAGGCGTGTGTCAATTCAGTTTCTCCATGCAGAATGATGCCATGTTCCTAAAACCCCTGCAGATGGGTAGCCGCGTTGAGCCACTGCACTCAAACTTTATCCCCTTTCCTAGGAGCAAGCCTCACTAAATAAAATGGGCTCACCTCTGAGAAGACCCACTTAAATTTCGTGCTATAGGTGTGGAATGACAGCCCCCAGAACTGCATTACTATCCCTGGGAATGGACCCACAAACCCTGTGGTGTACTGCTGGTCCACGAGAGTCCAGTGGGGGCTGTCGGACAGCAGACGGGCAGCCTCCCCATGTTCCCTCTAAGCTGTGGAGTCTTGTGTGCAAAAATTCTACTTTGTGAGCAACTGGCATTAAAGCTGTGAGCCAGCGATTTGGCTACTGCATAAATTAGTTTGATCTGGAGGCGTCCTTCCTGAGCGAAGACAAAAATCTGTGAGCTGGAGGCTAAAAAAAGGTGAGCTAGCTCACATTAACTCAGCTTAGAGGGAACACTGCCACCCACCCGGTGGAATGAGTGTCATGGAGTCTGGAGGCTGAGCGGGCTCCTCGCCTCCCCTCCAACAAGGCCACCCCACACGGATCCGCCCTGCACGAATAGAGGCAAGGCTCGGCCGGGCTGTCAGGCACAACACTCCCACAGAGCCGGGAGGAGCGGCCCTTCTTCACCCGCCCCGCTCTACAAATACCCTCCCCACGACCGCCATTCGAACACGCGACTAAGCAACAAGGGCGTATTTAGGGGCGGGCCTTAGGAGATGAAACGAACCGCTCGGAGCTGATTGGAGGCGCGCTGAGTCAAGAGGCGTGGCCCAGCTCCATAGAGGCGCGCGAGAGTAGAGGACGGGGCGGGGCCTCGCTTGAGTGGAATGTTTCGGGCGCGGCGCTTCCGGGTTGAGTGTGTGACGTCCAACTCCAAACGAGGCGCGCTGCGGCCTGCTGGAAGGTAGTGGGCAAACTGGGCGCATGCGCTCTAGACAGCTTTCCAAGCCGCAGCTAGCCCGAAGCGCATGGGCAGTGGTGGCCGCTCGTTTTCTCCCAGTGGACGCATGCGCAGTGCGCTCGGGCGGTGTCGGTTCCGGGTAAAGCAGTGATAGGAGCGGCTGCAGGAGATCCTTGATCGCATCGGCCATGGCGGCAGCGGCGGCAACAGCGGCCCCGGGTGGGGCAGGCCCCGTGCCCGTACCAGGAGCTCCGCGGCTGGGAGTGGAGACGGTGAAGGGTCAAGTTTTTGATGTGGGGCCGCGTTACACGGATCTACAGTACATCGGCGAGGGGGCGTACGGCATGGTCTGGTGAGTGAGCGCGAACTGCCCGGAGTGGCCCTGCCCCGCTGCCGTACCCAGCCCCGAAGCCGAGGATGGCTGAGTGGCTGACGTGCCCCCCGAATCGGGATCTCGCGTCCGCCGTCTCCTCTTAAGCAGACTTCCGCCATATTGTTTCTTAGTTACCGACCCCCCCCTCCCTCGTGCTGGTCTTCCACCAATACTGGACCCACTGCCTCGATCCCCCTCCACATTGGTTCCTAGCTGCTGTACCGCCGCTCCCCCCCTTTCCCAGCCCTGGCGCTCCTGGATTTCCTCTGCTACCGATTCATCCGACAGATGCCTCCTCCTTCCAAACGGCCCTGCAATCCAGAGACACACACCCTACCTAGCCCTGCCCAGTCCCTGGGGTGCTGCCAGCCCCTCCCAGTGATTGGCTCTCGCAGGTCCTGTTGCTCCGTGCCGGTGTTTACCATTCTCTTTGTTTGCACCCGTGCCGCCCAACATCTGGCTGGTGTGGCGCCGGTCTAAAGTGGCCAGCGGCTGGCCGTGAAAGGTGTTGTTTGTGCCTTCGAGCATTTTCGATGTCGAGAAGCTTAGCGGCTGGAGCTCTCGTCTTGTGGTCGCGGCAGCCCTGTGAACAGAGAAGGGGAGACTTGGTGCCTTTCTTGCCACAAGGCTGTCCACTGCACAGGTGTCTTGCTGAGTCAGGCATTGGCTAGCCTCTCTCTGGACCTCCGGTGCCGCTCCTGCATGCCGTCCAGCTGTGAACCTCTTTCAGTGCTGTGACTACTTTAGATGGATGTCTTTGTTCTGGCATCTGTGGGCCAGATAATTTTGCTGTCATTTAACTCAGTGCCCTATTAGGCTCCCTGATCTTTTATTGTTCATAATGGATGCAGGATTTGTAATCAGATTAATCTAAAGCTGTAGATTGATGTGAAGCTGTACTGTCCCTAGATCCTTCTGAGCTGTTGTGCATTTTTGTCTACAGTGGTGCTTTGAGCTAAGATACTCTATAGGATACCCCAATTTACTAAACCTAGTCTCTGTAGTATGAGGTAATAACTAAGTCCTAGCATATAAGTCACCAACTTTATTTGTCTCAGAGATGTGTACACCACCACTTCAGAGGCTTATTTAAGGCAACTCATTTATTTAAATAAAAATAAAATCCTAAGAAGAACGATCATTGCAAGAAGGGAAGAGACTGACATTCATGTATTTATGTTATTTATAGTCTGTCTTTCTCACTTGGACTCCAGGCAGATTACAAAATTACATTCAGCAACCAAAAAAGCTTGAAAAAGCAGAATCCTTCTGCTAAAGGCCTAGGTGAATAGAAATGTTTTGGTCTGGCACCTCAAAGACAGTAAGGTAGGCACCAGATGAGTCTGGAGGGGGGAGCATCCCAAAGGGGCCGTGCTTTCCTCTGATTGCCATCTGCCTTACCTCTGCAAGCAGGGGCACAGGGAAAGGGGCTTGGAATGAGGATCTTAACTGCCAGGTGGTTCACACTCCCAGTCTTCTCACTCTAAAGTATTCGTGCCCATCTAATTTAGGGCGAGGTTTTTTTAGGGTCTTGTACCACCACTACATATCTTGAGGGCTTTTGGGTGTGTCGCTTTGGATCTCTGTAGCTTCAACACCAGGCAAGGTAGTTCCCTAACTCATCATATGCTGTGTCAAACAGCTGGGCCTTGGGCATGACTGACTCCACCATATTGTTCATACACCATGCCTGCCATTTGTCTTGCCTTTCCTTAAGTCGCTGTCTTCCTATTCAGCCTGTCGACAGAATTCTGAAATTTGAGCATTGTTTTGGAGGTGTCAGTATGGTTTTCTTGGAAGGCGTTCTTCCTTTAATTTGCTGTTATGAATTACAAAACTGTTTTCAAATGTGGGCAGGGGGGAGGTATTTGGCAGTTTGATCAAAAATGCTGGTAACATTAAGAGGAGAGAGAGAGATAAACTAATAGTTCCGATACATATCTAACCTTTGTCATCCCCTCCTTGCAGTTCTTCCTACGATCATGTCAACAAGATCCGGGCTGCCATCAAAAAGATCAGTCCCTTTGAGCACCAGACGTACTGCCAGCGCACGCTGCGTGAGATCAAGATCCTCTTGCGCTTCAAGCATGAGAATGTCATCGGCATCAATGACATTCTGCGTGCACCTACCATCGATCAGATGCGTGATGTGTATCTTTTCTTTCAAACAATGGTCCTCTGTTCCAGTGTAGGAGGGATAACCTGCAAGAGTGTGTGGACACGTGGACAGGCCATATTGTGTCCTGGATTTAGTGTCTCCACGTGCCTTTGAGCCAAATGTGCAGTTCAGATGCTTTGCCTGCCACAAAACAGAGAGATATGCAGTGGGGTTGCTGGGAACAGAGTGTACCAATGCACCGGCACTTTATTTGCATTTTTATCCTGCCCTTCCTCTAAGGAGCTGAGGGCGTGGCATACATCTGTCTCCTAGTCTCCTTTTTACCCTCACAACAACTCTGTGAAGTAGGCTAGGCTGAGAGAATGCGATGGGCCCAAGGTCACCCATCTGGCTTCATGGCAGAGCAGGGATTTGAACCTGAGTCTCCCGGGTCTTAGTTTGCCACTTGAACCACTACGCCAAGCTGGCACTGCTGCACTGGCTTCCCCTTGTTTTCATACAGTTCCATGGTGCTCTGCTGTCAATGGTTTTGGCTTAAGAAACTCTCTTTCCCCCGTATATTTTGCTTGTGTCCAATTATACCAGTCGAGATTGCTTCCCACATAAAGTCCATACAGCTGGATTTAGCTGCTGTGTGACAGTAAAGCTCTTTTCTGCTGGAGATTCAGGGGCTGAAAGCTGTCTGTTTGGATTGGCTTCTAGTGGCCAAGGTTCCACTGACTGTGTATACACGTGCACGCAAACACTGCAAACTTGCTTTCCTTGACTCGTCTCCTTGCTGTCCCTCTGCTTGAGGGATCCCTGTTTCTGTTTGCAGATATATAGTTCAGGATTTGATGGAGACCGATCTCTATAAGCTGCTGAAAACTCAGCAGCTCAGCAATGATCATATCTGCTACTTCCTCTATCAGATTCTCCGAGGGCTGAAATACATTCACTCTGCCAATGTGCTTCACCGGGACCTGAAGCCCAGCAACCTCCTCATAAACACCACGTGTGACCTAAAGGTGCCCTTCATCGGCCTTTTATCAGACCCTCCGCTAATTCTTCTGTACAACCCCCCCCCCTCCTCCCAGCCTCTCTCCTGTTGTAACTGTCTTTGCCTTCCCATCCTTCTCTCTCTGCAGATCTGTGATTTTGGCCTGGCCCGGATTGCTGATCCAGACCATGACCACACGGGTTTCTTGACAGAGTACGTTGCCACTCGCTGGTACCGTGCTCCTGAAATCATGCTTAATTCAAAGGTAAGACGTTCAGGGTGGAGAGGACCTGGGAGCCAGAACTACTGAATCAGGAAAGAGGGCGAGGTCAAGTCTGGCTGGGAGTCAGGATTCCTGACTTCTCTGGGGGGAAAAGAGAGCTTTAGCTAGTATAGCAGAGCACAGCGCGTGGATTGCTCTTAGCTATCCTAAGAAAAGCATATCTAGTAGACAGCCCCCCCATGATGCACAAAGTCTGTTCTTGTTGTAGCCCCTTTGGTTACCTAAGTTCTGCTGTCCAGGTTCACTCTGGCTGACCCTTTCCAGTTTTCAATTTCTGCCTTCTCCTCAAGGCCTTGGGACCGTATTCCTTCATGCACTCTCTTTTACTCATCATCCTTTTACATCCTCCTCATTCTTCCAAAGACTGTGACAGAATGCATCACTCTTTTGCAGATGTGTGATGCCCTTTTAGTCTAGACTGGGAGGAAACAGGGCTTACTACTATTTTTTTTGCTGGTGCTGCAGTTTCAAGATTTTGCGAGGGATAGGAAAAAGCAGGTGAGGAGGGGAAGAACCAAGGATGCCCCCCAATCCTGTGTTCTCTTTCTGTCTCTTTCTCCCTTCCCAGGGCTACACCAAGTCCATTGATATATGGTCTGTGGGCTGCATCCTGGCCGAGATGCTGTCGAACCGACCCATCTTTCCTGGCAAGCACTACCTGGACCAGCTCAACCACATCCTGGGTAAGGGGGAAAGGAGGGAGAGCTTTCCCCTCTCCTGGTCTTTGGCTACACTTTTTTCCCACACCAGAGCCCCCCCCCCCCCCCCGAAGTCTAGAAGCCTATTTCTCTTCCAGGGCTCTCCCCTTGCTTGGTGCCCAGGGGCTCTCTAACCTCCCATTTCTACAGGCATTCTGGGTTCCCCATCTCAAGACGATCTGAACTGCATCATCAACATGAAGGCTCGAAACTATCTCCAGTCTCTGCCCCAAAAGCCCAAGGTTCCATGGTCTAGACTCTTCCCCAAGGCTGATCCCAAAGGTAAGAGGGAGAGGACGGAAGATACATGTGTCCCAGCATGCATAGCTTATTGTTGACAGCCCCTTTTCCCGCACCCCAGGGTATCATCTGTCATCTGTCTCTGATTGGTTCACACTTATCCATGCAATCCATGCCAGAAGTCTCTTAACGGGTTTCTAACTAAGGGCCCATTCTTAATTCCAAACGGCAGCACGAAACTGAATTCTGTCTCTTTAACCGGACGTCTTCTTTTGTTTCTTAGTCTGCACACACCAGTAAGCGCTGAATGGGACCTATTTAGTTACTGTATTTATAGTCTGCCTTTCTCACTGAGGCCCAACGTGGGCTATGCGGCGGAAGTCCACTGCAGTTCACACAGAGAGATATCTCAAAAGCGTAGTGTATGTTGATGCAGTCAACATATCCACGTCTTGCAGGTTTCTCCTTGCTGCTGCTCAAGGGCCTATATTTGCAAAAAGCGTCTGTTCACTTTTCTGGACATCTGCTTGTGCGCTTGTCTCACGTTTTAAAGAACAATTGGTCGTCCTTAACTCTGGGCCCTGGTTTGCTGGCAACTAAGGAAAGTCTTCATGAATGAAAGTAATAGAAATTTAAGAGGCAGCATCTTGAGTGCAACCTTGTGTGGTATGAATGTGGTCGGATGTTAACTTGCTCTACTTTATTGACCTTTCTTTTGCTGGGGTGACCTAGATGTACAGGCAGCAGGAAGTCTTGTGTCTAATAGTTTGTGTGGAAGAAGGGACTGCAACCCGATCCCTGTCTGGGACAGCGTCTCATGCACTTTGTATCTAAGGCTGCAGAGCCAATGTGGGGTAGTGTCAGAATAGGATCTGGGAGATTCAGGTTTGAATCGCCTCTGCCATGGAAGCTCACTGGGTGACCTCAGGCCAGTCGCACACTCAGCCTAACCTACCTCGCAGGGCTGTTTTGAGGATAAAGTGGAGGAGAGAACAATGTAAGCCAGCTTGGGTGTATAGATGCAGGAGCCCTCATGCACGTGGTCTTTTTTTCCTATCTCCCTCTCCTTTTTGCTTAAAGTAATTTTAGTTCTGTGCCACCCTGTGGCATTTGCAGGTCCCCAGTTCACACCCTGAATAAGCTGCCAGCAACGGTAAGCTTGTTAAACACTGAGGGGATTCTTTGGGAGAAGCTGAATCTGTACAAAAGAGTCGGGCTTCCCCAAACCATAATGTTAGCAGACTGTTGATGCTTAGAATCTGCAAGGTAAAATAACTGCTTGTAGGGGAGGCATGATAGGAGCCGAGAATCGCCTGTTATTGGATAACTCATTCCTTAGCACTCTGCGCCTTCTAAATGAAAACAGAACTTTGCAGAGACAACAGGCAGCCAATCAAGCACTCAAAGATAGCATACAAAAATGACTTGTTGGAGGATACGATACATAGATGTTTATAGGCTAATTCAAAGATAGGCAAATCACAGTGGCCTGATCCTTGGGCGCAAGTGCCTGTTAAGGTCAATGGAGCTTACTCCCAGGTAAGTCCGTACCGGTGTTAGTCTCCGAATGCCTAGTTTTGGAGAGCACACACATAGTGAGAATACAAAACACCTGGTGGAACAGTGACTATCAGTGACACAGAAAACTACACAACTGGTGTTGGTCCATGAAGAAGAAAAAATCTGACCAGAAATATAACATCTGTATCTATTAGGATGGGTTCCCCAGTGTGATGCCCGTGGCGCCCTCTGACATCTTTCCAGATGTCTGCCGAGTGTTTTTAGAAAATGGGCAGCGCTAATGTGGGGCTTTTGCCCAGCAAACTTCTAATTGGCCATTGGAGATTTGATTGTCTCTGCTGATTTTGGCAGCAGCTGCCACCACCGCCAATGTTCCCTCTAAGCTGTGGAGTCTTGTGAGCAAAAATCCTACTTTGTGTGCTACTGGTATTAAAGTTGTGAGCAAACAGTTTGGCTACTGCATAGATTAGTTTGCTCTGGAGCCCTCCTTCCCGAGCTGAGACAAAGAACGTGTGAGCCGGAGGCTAGGAAACTGTGAGCTAGCTCCACATTAACTCAGCTTAGAGGGAACACTGACCACAGCGCCAGGGTCTTCACTGTGTGACTGAAGGTAAGCTGGGGCAGCCATTTTGTAGCTGGCTGCACCTCCCGCCAGAATTCCAAAGGTGCCCACAGGCTCAAAAAAGGTTGGGGACCCTTGTATTAGGATACAGTTACTTTTATTAGGGTACAATTATCCCTGGATGTAGCGACTTCAAAAAGGACAGTGTTAGTTCTTTTTGTTGTGTTAGAAGACAGGGAGTAAAAGAAATTGAAAATTTCAGAGGGGAAATTTGTTCACAGGATCATTGGGAATAGAGGTACTAGGCCAAAAGGGCAGCACAGGTCTGGGCATATGCTTTGAATGTCTCTCCCTCTTCCCCATCCTCTCCCCTGCACCAGTTCTGCACCAGGTCATCTTGAAATGCAGAAAGAAGTCAGAGAGCAACTACAAGAAAAAAAATGTACCAACGGATGGATTCAGTTTGTTGAATTGACTGGACTTAGTTGTTCAAAAGGGCAGAAAATGTCTAGATATGATAAACTACCGTGATTCACAAAAATTAATCATGGAGCCAAACACCAGCAAGAAAATCTTTGATTTGCCACTCGGGATTTGACAGTGCTTATCTCTTGAGAAAAGCATCCAGGATTCTTTCTAATTCAGTACACGGGCAACTGGGAAATTATCTAGAAAGTCCATCAAAATCACATTTCAGTTTCAGAAGAGATTCAAGGAGATTCAAGGGTGTCAGATCTCTTCAGGAAGCTTGGTAGTTATTTTAAGCCATCCTAATAGAGGCTTAGATAAAATGTATACCACGGAGTAGAAAGGAGCACAAACAAATTCAAGAGGACATGAGTTGTGTTGAGACAGCCACAAAATGCTTGTGTACTAAAAATGGAAGATTTTTCAAAAAAATACAAAATCTGGTTAAACAAACAAATGATAAAAGTATTCAAGAAAAGAATGTTATGAGCAAATTACTAAAAATATAAAAATGATCGACATTTAAACCATATAAGAAAGAAGCAGTAGAACAGTTAGATGGCAAAGGCTGATGTGAAAGATAGGGAAAATTGCAGGGAAACCAAATGAATTCTTGACTTCAGTCTTCACTGTGGAAGATGTTTGGAGAAAAAGTTTGTATCCGAGCCACTGTTTACAACATCTGTAAACAATGGGGCAAACTCTGAGGAGAGACAATAAACTGCAAATTAATGTCACTGAGGCCAGACAGCGTTCCATGTGAGAGAGAACTTAAGGAACTCAAAATGAAGAGTTGGATTTATACCTGGCCCTTCACTCGGAGTCTCAGAGCAGCTAACAATCCCCTTCTCTTCCACTCCCTACAACAGACACCCTGTGAGCAATGTTCCCTCTAAGCTGTGGAGTCTTGTGAGCAAAAATTCTACTTTGCGAGCTACTGGCATTAAAGTTGTGAGTAAGCGATTTGGCTGCTGCATAAATTAGTTTGCTCTGGAGCCGTCCTTCCTGAGCAGAGACAAAAATGTGTGAGCTGGAGGCTAAAAAATTGTGAGCTTGCTCACACTAGCTCAGCTTAGAGGGAACACTGCCTGTGAGGTAGGTGGGGCTGAGAGAGCTCTGAGAGAACTGTGAGGTCGCCCAGCTGGCTTCATGTGGAGGAGCGGGTTCTCCAGATTAGAGTCTGCCACTCTTAACCACTGTATCAAACTGGCTTCCGGGAGTCCACAGAAACGATGGAACTTTTGAAAAGTGAGAAATGTGAGAAGTGATGGACCTTTTGAAAAGAAATATGCAGCTTTTCATTAAAGTACAGTTACTGTTGAGTTTTCTATTACCATGTTTGACCATTGCTAGCACAGACAACTTTTAAGAGTTAGGCTCACACAAAGAAGAAAAGTCTGTCAGTGGTTATTAGACCTGATAACGCAACAAAGTTTGCATGGTTTGAATGCAGGAGATACCTCAGAATCTTGTGTGCTGCTGGGGGGTACAAAAGAGGGGAGGGCCGTCTTCGTGGCCCTGTGGACTCCTGGAAGCATATGGTCTGCCCCCTGCTGGAAACAGGATTCAGACTAGATGCATGCGTTGGGTGTTAAGATTTACGATGTGGTGCCATCGGTCCAATCCCATGTTAAGTCAGTGCACAAGTTACTTCTGGGTCCCATCCAATGGGACTGGTGGCTTAAGCAAATCATGCCATTAGCTCTACTGGCTCCTGTGGATACACACCAGTCCCTCACCAACTTCTGTTCCTTAAGAACATAAGAGACACCAATGTTGGATCAGGCCAAAGGCCCATCCAGTCCAACACTCTGTGTCACACAGTGGGCAGAAATACCAGGTGCCATCAGGAGGTCCACCAGTGGTGTGATGCTGGGTTGTTTTTCTCCTATTGCCATGGGTAAGCTGGTTGCTGATACCTTGTCCTTTATCTTGCTCTGTTTAGCACTGGACCTGCTGGACAAAATGTTGACCTTTAACCCAAACAAGCGCATCACAGTGGAAGAGTCACTGGCCCATTCTTACCTAGAGCAGTACTACGACCCCTCAGATGAGGTGATCAGTGCTATGGGGATGGGACGGGAGGGGGAGAGGGAGACTTCAGGACTCCTGGTTTAGGACTGATGGGTGGGGGGAGGACAAAGTTTGGGTGCCAGGATGTCTGAATACCATCCTCCCTTGTGCCCCATCCAGCCAGTTGCTGAGGAACCGTTCACCTTTGATATGGAGCTGGACGACCTGCCCAAAGAGAGGCTGAAAGAACTGATATTTGAGGAGACAGCACGATTCCAGCCTGGCTACCAAGGGCCTTGAGTGGCTTTTTGGACCACTGGTAAGTACAGCAGAGGCTGTGGAGGTGGTGGCGGTCTGGGGATGGCCTTACTGGAACTTCTCCCGTTAGGCAGCTGCAGTGTACAAGCGCCTTGACTTAAGCAGGGGTGTCGAACTCATTTGTTACGAGGGCCGGATCTGATATAAATGTCACTTTGTCGGGCCGGGCCGTATGTACCATAAAATGTAATGCCAGGCACCGGAGATACAAACTGTGTAAGGGACAGCAGCTGGTAAGCTCTGAGTTGGTGTATTCTCACTGCAAAGCCCCATGGGCTGAAAACCCATGTGGGTAGACTGGAGAGTCAGCGGTGCAGCACTGGGCAGACATTCTCATGCTGCTTGAGTGCTGCAGATGAGGTCGTTCTGCCGTGCTGAAGCCACAATCAGAGTGGCTCCGCCCACTTCCCCGAGCAGTCTCCTGTTCCCTCCCTTGCCCTAGTTGCTCACAGGTCACATAACAGCTCCAGACGGGCCTGGTTCTGGCCCCCGGTTGCCCTTGTTTGACACCCCTGACTTAAGCTTTCTTCCCATCATCTGAGGCCAGTTGTTTTGTAGCAGCTTTTTGTGAGCAAGAGTTTGCGCAGCCTGTTATCTTTGGGTGATATTTTATTTATTTATTTGACTTTTACCCCACCCTCCCCGCCAAGGCGGGCTCAGGGCGGCTCCCATAAAACTAATAAAACAATATACATCTTATAAAATTACAGATACAAACGTTAAAACCATTAATATCGATGGCGATACAAAACAGTAAAGTGCAATTGGAGACCCGTTCAACGGTGCCACCGCGTTAGGCCACTTCTGGGTCTGAGTCTGCACAGGGCCTGCAGCTGGTGAGGTGCCGCTCCTATCAGAATGCCTGCCTAAGAAGCTCCGTTTTCATGGCCCTGCGGAACTGTGGAGGGTCCCGCAGGGCCCTGATCTCGCTAGGGAGCTGATTCCAATAGGACGGAGCTGCCAGAGAGAAGGCCCTGTCCTTGTCGATGTCAACCTTGCGGCCTTCAGACCAGGGAGGGCCAGGCAGTTTTGAGATCCTGATTGCAATGGTCTCTGGGGAACATGCGGGGAAAGGCAGTCCCT